CCTGATGGGCTAATCTTGCATCTGCCCACAGTCCCTGGGTGTTACAAGGTGGCTTAGCCCAAGGACCACTTAGTGTAAGTGTTGGGCCCATAGAGCTCATTTGATGGGTTTCAAGGGGTGCACTGTCCATAACAGTGTATTTGGCCAGGCCTGGTAACAAAGGCTGGGCCGAACCCATGTGGCTGATGTGYAGATCAATGCTTGGGTCCCACGCCATACAAGGAAGCCCAACTGGGCAGCAATTAGGAAGGTTAAGTGAGCACATAAGCTTGATGGGCCTAAGCCCGTTTTGAACTGGGCTATTTAATTAGTTAATTATGGGACAAATTCTGAGATGGATTAGCTGATAGGATAGGGTCTTGACCCTATGCACTCAGAGAGTCCAAGATCTGAATGTGATTTAGATCTAGAAACCTCGTAATGAGATTAGGAGAAAGTTAATCTAATCTGCAGATAAGATAAGGGTTTATCCCTATCACCTAAAGAGAGGTCTTATCCCAATATGATTTGGATAAGCAGCTCCTAATTGGATTAGGAGCTGATCTTTTAGGTTAACAAAAGAAGGAGGGGGCGACAACTTTTAGAAGACAATTCATTCAGATCCTCTTTAGTGCTGAAATCAAGAAGGAAGAATTAAGCATCCCTATAGAATTCTTTCTTGCCCCCTCCTGTTCTTGCTGCCCTGTTTGCCAGTTCGATCTCTAGTTGTGGGAGAAGTCAAGATTCGATCTTGACATCAGTTCTTTCAGAAAGAATTGATTGGAAGCTGTGCTCACGTGCCATCCTACTGATTCTTGCGAAGGACAGAGTTCTTGGAGAAGAACACTGCTAATTCTACTCCATCCTACACTGTGCCATCTTTAGTGGGAGCAGTCTTTGGATCCTTCCTTGGGCGTGAGCACCTTCGTTGGAGGATACTGTTTCTCCGTATCAGGTATAATCCTCTCCTACTCCTTTTGGTTCAGATCTGGTTCAATTTATGGTTCAAGAATGATCATTGAAAATATGATTTTCTAAATAGGGAATGCGATTCTCAGTTGAAGGGAGAAAAAAATTTTTGAAATTCGCCCCCCTATTCCGCAATCTTTGGGCATCCATAAGATGAATCTCTCATCCCTTCAACTGATTGCTGCTATGAGGTGCCAAAATTGAGCTATGTACCCTTTTCACCTCCCCACATAAACTATTTTCTCATTTTCTTCCTTTTCTCTCTCTCTCTCTCTTCGATCTCTCTCTATCATATCTCGTTTTCAAATTTTTCACTACCAAATGGTGACTAGAGAACAAAATCGGAATTAACAGGTGAGACTTTCTCTCTTTCTCTGTTTATTCTAAGTTCTAGAACTAATTCAGCTAGTGGTTGTAGTGATTGTAGCAGTTGATCGTTAGACAAATAAGAAAATAGGGAAAATGATATTAATGGTAGTAAATGACCTAAGCTCAAAAACTTGTTAAAACAATTGTACTTGAAATCATTGGTACATTCGATCCAATGAACTCAAAATTTCAATTTCGTAGCTTTGCACAACATTACCATGGTGTTGGGATCTCGGAATACAATAATTAGTGTTGATTTGACATCTCTAGGACATTCTGAATCTTTTTTTTTTCTTTTTTGCTTTAGATGTCCAATTCTTGATCTCTGTCTACTTTCTTAGTTATATCAAGGTGCTTGATATAACTATGATTTGCACACACAACCATTGTTGAAATGTGATTGTCGACTACTTGTTTCGTGGGTCGCTTTACACTCTACATCCTATTCTGATTGACGTTTGTGGAAGGAGAAATTAGCTCATGGCTTGATTCTCATTTCAGTCTTAATATTGATGCCTGGTTTCTTCTAAATAGGTAAGTGAAGTTTTCTTGGTATCCAGTTTGAACCTGTGTTTAGCTTACCTCTGCTTTTTTCTAGTATTACTTATTGTATTTTTTTCCCTCATGTTTTCTGTGTTCACTTTTCATCTGACCTAAGCTTTTAAGTTTTAGTAATAAGTCCTTTCAATTATTATTTTTTTGGTTTTGAGTCCTACTTTTCAGCATGTCCACCTAAAGCATTCACGAGGTTCCCCCTTATTTTAATTCTCAAGTCACCGCTTTCCCTAATCTTATTCCTTTAAGATAACTAATCTTATTCCTAAGACTAATGAATAAGAAAATAAATTTGAATGATCTTGAAATTACTAAAATCCAAAACACAGAAATTACAAAATTGACACTGGTTCAAGAATATGAAGAAACCATGTTTCTTCTTCAATGGATTTGTCCATTGCTTCCATTTCTACTTTATTGACCCTCCCCTATTTGAAAATTTTCAGCCCAGTAGGTTAAATGTGACGATCTTTAAAATTTTCAACACTTGGGCTTGCATTGAAAGATCTTAAAAATTTTGTTCATGATAGGCTTATCAATCAATATTATCAAGCCAATTATTTTATTATTAACGAGCAGTTTTGGCTTATCTAATTGTTGTGATGATGTATCAAAACAAATTGTATATATGAACAATGATAAATCAAATATTTGTAAAGGTATCAAGAAAATTTTGCACATTTGACAGATGATCTAAACTGATTGATTATGGAGGAAAAGTTTACTCCTAAGAGGCCGACAAATATTTGTCTTTTCAATTTGTTATATTGCCCTACATCATAGAAGTTAAATCTAAAACAAAGATGTGCTTACCCACAAGAGACAAGAGTATCAAAATACATGCACCTAATTTAATTGCTCTTTAGCTTCCCATTTTGATTATAGAAATAGTATGCACATTTTCAATAAGGGTTATAGATCCAGTTCCTATACCCCAAGGGTTGAACGTCTAGATGCCACTAGTAACTATAGGTACATAGTGCCCGCTTAGTCCCTCAGAGCACAATGAACACTGGATTGATACCACATGGACGTTTGCGATAAGCTTGCAGCCAATCTTTCCTCTACGATGAACCTACAATGTATCATAGGTCTGGCACACTTGTGATAAACTTATTCTTAGCATAAGCGCAAAGCAAACCCAGGTTGAACCTGCGATGAGGTGCACGCGTACCTGGCCCGACGATACTCTACACATCATCCACATGGGTTCAGCCCAGCCTTTGTCATAAGGCCTGGCTGAATACACTGCTATGGACAGT